GGTTGAGACCTCTACCAGGGTCTTGATGTCTAGCCTCGCTTGGCGGGCAAGCCTAAATGCTTAGCGACTCTCGCGACAACGTGAGCCTGCGACAACGTAAGCGATAAGGTTGCCAACTCAATGTACTCTGTGTGCAAAAGCCCATGAATGAGGGCCGATGAAGAGGAAAGGCTGGCGTGCAGAAGACGGCGACGGGGAAGCGCAGCGATTGAGAAGTGTGAAAGTTTTTTCTCGCCACTGAGGAAAAGAAAGGGTGCCCGCGGGGTGCGCGAGAAACGCGCTGGGCGTGGGTGTAGGTGTGGGTGAGTGTGGTTAAGCTTTGTGAGCCGGCGGGACGCATGCACTGCACATCCTGGTTGTATGAACCATCCTGGCTACTTGACCATCCCAGTCCTGTGCAGCGCAGGCCAGTCCAGTCCACCAGTCCAGCGCAGTGCAGTTCAGCATGTAGGCCATGTCTACAAATTGCTCCACGGTGTCATGGTCCGAAAACCGCCGACAATTCTCCAGACGTGAAGTTGATCGAAGTGAGACAGCAGTGATCACGGGTAGGAGTGTTTTCCGGCGCGGTGCGGGCTGCAGGCGCGGCTCAATGTCGAGCGTTCTGCTGCGTCGTGATCCGGTGGCTTCCGGTGTGCAGTTGCAGTCCACCAATGCCTTCCAGCGCACGAGAGTGAGTGGGCTAGCGACGCGTGACATCGCTTGACAGGCCGGGCTGCATGGGAATAAGACAAAAATAAGGGCGGCGTGAATGGGCCAGGTTTGATGCTCCAGTTGCGTCACGAGATGTGTCTATGTAGCTATCGGACTGTACTGGCTGTGTGAACGTTTCTTGTTTGTTTGTTTGTTTACTGTTTCTGTGTAACGGGAGATGTAAAGTGCAGACACGTGATTTGCGTCGGGGAGGACAGAAGGCTGGATGCAGCAGGTGAAGCCGGACGGCGCAGGAGTCGATCGGGAGTCAATTTATCGTGCATGTCGCTGCTCCGGGACGGGCCGGGGTCAACCACGGGTTCGTGGGTGTGTGGGAGGGTGTGTGGGCGTCATGGAATGTCACGGGTTTCTTTCTGGCAACGGGTTCTAGATGGGGATGGGTATAAATAGGAGAGCTGGCCGAAGTGAAGCGCTTTGCCGGCGCTGGGAACTTGGGAGTCAGGCTGCGCTGGGGAGATGCATGCCGGTCTGTTCTGGGTAAATTTGGTCTTGGAAGTCGATGGTGTTTTCATAGCCGTGATAGAAGAGGTCTTTGTGGTATATGGGGAGTGTCATTGTATTGGCCATGGGGGAAGAACGACGTTGGAAAAGAGACCAGCCCCAGGTTTAAGCAACTCCGAATCAAAAACAGCACTCTAATGCTGACTCGATATCTCGTCTCGACCCTCACGTGCACGGAAACATCCAGTGTCCCTCCACACCCTGATCATCCTCATCCCCCTTCTTCTCCACCACCATCACCTCCCCTTCGTCTTCCTCCCGAATAGTCTCCAACGACACCACCCACCTCCCCTCACCCCTCTTCCCCGTCCTGCTCCCCGTCCTCCTCTCCGACTCCGCACTCTTCCGTGGTCCAGCCATCAACCGCTCCAGCACTTCGCGCCTCTCTTTCTCCCGCTCCTCCTGCCAGCGCTCCCACGCCTTGCTGTCGCTGCGCTGGCCGCCGGCTAGGAGGGTTTTGAAGAATGTGTAGAATGTCTCTGTCATCGTAATTTGCTGTTTTGTATTCAAGCGGGTTATAGAACTGGTGTTTATATACGATGGAGACAGCGCACGGCTGGCGGGCCGAGTTGCGACGGGCGTTGGGCGCAGATCGTGAAACCGTCAACTTGGATGTCGCGTAGGGTGTCACTCGGTCACGTTTTTTAGCGGGCTGCTGGTGGATTGGTATTCGTGTATTTTCTCGCTTTTCTAACGCTTTTCGTCCCTATCACTATCCTCATCATTCTCTTCTCCCTTGGATCTGTCGTCCGGCGTCTTGCCGTAGTACACCCCCAGGTCCTCCAACTCCCTCTCCTCGACCCACTCCGCCGCCCTCTCCTCCTCCCACCACGTCGGCACCAACACCTCACCTCCCTCCTCGCTCTCTCTCTTCCCCACTTCCCTGCTCTCCGCCCTAGCAGCCTCCATCCTCTCCCTCTGAGCCCTCATACTCCGCCTCATCGCCTTCTCCGCACTTCTCCGTCGCTGCCTCCCCTCCAGACACGCACGCCAGTACATCACCACCCGGCACCACAGTCCATGCACCTTCGGCGTCTGCGGAGTGAACTCGTACTCGTCTTCCTCGTCGCCCGACTCGGTATCGTCCTCTTCGTCGAACGACGGCGCAATCGAGCGCGAGAACCGTGGGTACCGTTGCCCGGTGGTGGGGCCGAACTCGATGAGCGGACGTGGCGAGAGGCGGGTGGTCGTGCGGCGCAGGGGCGGGTGCTTGTCCATGCTGGGCCGTGGATGGGGCGGGCTGGGGTCGGAGCGCGGGGTCGGGGTTTTATGGGTCGTGTCGGAGCAGTCCAGGTTGGGGTCGGCGTGCTGGTACGTTGGTGACACTGGCGAGACGAGTTGCATGCGGCGAGGTGGGAAGTGAGGTTGGTGGAAGGATGTTGGGCTGGGGGCAGGTTGTGGTCTGGACTGAGGTTGAGTTTGGGGAGGCCGAGCGAGAGTCGGTGCGCTTCATTTGTCAATGTGGGATCTCCATGGAGAGGCTCGTCGGAGGATTATAGACAGTCTACAGAGAGACTTATCGATAAGGGAGGAATAACGAATGGTACAGTACCCGACATGGAATATAGCCAGTGTGACGTAGTCGTCTGTTGTTCAATGCCTGGCAGACACGTGGGCAGCTGCTAAAATTGATTTAAGCTCGGAATTTCAGAATTCTTTGATACTATGCGCCTGTACTAAAAGATAGCTTTTGAGCAATTCTATCTGAATAGAAATTGTCTTGGATGGCCACACTTCTGGAGCTGATAGCGCAGTCGACAATTGGTCCAACCCCATCGGATGTATTCCTTGAAAGTTCCGCACCCTCAACTCTTTGACGATTCCGCAAAATTCTCTAGTTCAATGCAATTCTCGAATCCGGGGAGGTTTGAGAAGGCCTGATGAATATGGGTAGTCATATGCAGTGGGCACTGGGAACCTTGTGGAGGATGAACTGTATTGATCCGTTAGGCAGCAAGCTACTCCATCTACAAAAACTTTTCGATGTTGTATCGTTGCGGTAAGACAAAGCTTCGGCACTGAGGAGAGTAACGAACTCATAGGGAATTTCACATTCAAGTATCGAAATAAAACTTTAGTATGTCCAGACTCCAAATCGAAAGGCCAAGATTCTGCGCAATGCTAACTCTGGGAGACCTAGCTCAAGCGATGTTTGACCACCTTACAAACATGATACCCAGCTTTCATATCTTTTTATTGTAAAGATTCGGTAAATTCAAACATCAACAACATCGCAACACAGAGAAACGTCACACTATATCACTCGTTCTTGGATCCGTTGTACATCGGGAGAGCGCTATCGTATGGAAACCTTGCTTGAAGTTAGAAGGATTGCAGATACTGCGGAATTAATTCGAACGGCAAACTATGAGTTGTGTAGAACATTCATCCTTTACGCAATGTCCTCCCTCCGTATGTATCCTCTTACCCGCAACACCAGAACCGTCACCACTCCCCCTCCCCCTCCCCCTTCCCCTTGCCATGCGCGCCATGCACCGCCTCATCCTGCCGTCCCTTATGCCACAACGTACACCCCCACTTCCCACACCGCCTCCCCGGTCCCACGCCAACCTCAGGCCGCTCATACCCGCCCTCCGCCACAACGCCAACCCTTTCCTCATGGCGCCACCCCTCCAGCCACTGTGCCACGCGCCGCTCATCTTCCTCCGTCGGCACCAATACTTCCTCCCCCTCGGTTGGCGTCGTGGAGCGTTGTGGGGCGGGGGGGTGTGCGGCGATGCGCTGGCGCTGGGCTTCCATTGATGCGGCGATCTCGGCCGCGCGCTCGGCTTCGGTTGTGGAGCAGCGCAAGTTGTTGGCCTCCAGGCGGTGCAGCTGGGCGAGGATCTGCGACGGCGGGCGCTCCCTCGCGGCTTTTTGGGCGGCTTGGTGGTTGTTAGTGCCAGTGGTCATGGGGTCGCGATATCGTCTGTGTTGGGTGGTGGTGTGTGCACGATGCCGCTGTGGCGCTGGTGGCAGTGATTTTAATGAGATTGAGTTGTGCTGGGCTGCCACCCACCGCCGTAACGCGCGGGGGTGCAGGAACGCGTACGGCGCAGCCAAGCGCACCCTCGCGGGCTGGCGGCGGCGGAGCTGCGTCACGTGACAGGAGACGAGGTTCGACGCCATATTAATTGGAGGCCTAGGCGACGGCGAGCCGGTGCGTTGCAGGCGGGAGGGGGAAGTGAGGGAAGCACGGGAGGAGGCGCGGCGGGGAGACGTTGGAGGCGGTGCCAAGGGTTCTTGTGTTGTCATTCGGTGATTGGCTGGATGATCGTGTTGGCGTTGCGAGGCGGGCGAGTGAGAGCGGGAGTAGTAGATGGGAAAAATAATGGTTGTGGATAAATTGTGGAGGTAGGTAGCTAGTCAAATAGTCAATTGAAGCGTTTTTCATATGTTTGTGAAATGTCATATTGTGTGACAAAGAACTGATCAAACCGCTAGAGAATCAGATATTCAAGTTGTGCCTGCTTAGTTGTCAGGACAACTCTGAAACCTCTTTGTCTGTCTCATTGACTTATGTTTAATTGCGGTCTAGCTATCATCCTCTTCATAATCATCGCCACGATAGTACTTACCTGAGTTAAATAATGCGCCTGTATATTCTAGGAACATGTTTTACGGTCTGATTCTGTACATTGCCATGCAAACTAAACTCATGACAACCCCATCAAGTTGCACTCTTCCGCCATATCTTCCCATAACAAAACATAGACCCCACCTCATTATGCACAAACCGCAAAATTGTCAACACGTTTCACCAACGTGGAGTGAAACAAAAATGAAGTTTCCGACGTGGATCGAACACGTGACCAATAGATTTGCAATCTACTACTCTACCACTGAGCTACGGAAACTTCGATGCCAACCTCAGCCCTCCACGCTATATAACCCGCTCCGTAGTGGTGAAACAGATGCTGTCAAACAAGGTGAAACATTTCGATGCTTTCGCCATGTTGCCCCCCCCTCATCATTGCAAACCGCCTGACAGCAGCCCCGTTCCCGCAACACCGGTTCCAAGTTGCCCCCTCCCCCCTCCCGCTATAACCCCCCGCCCTCGGTCCCTCTCCCCCCCTCCCCCCTTCCACCGTACCACAACAACCATGTCTGTTTCCAATACCCACAACACACCCCTCCCCACACCCCCCCTCACACTCACCCCCCCCCAACACCGTCAACACCTCATCAACGAACGCGCCGAAGCCCACATCTACCTGCGCTACCTGCACCACGTGCTGCAGACGCGCGCACACACGCTGGCGATCCTCGACGAGCGCGAGGCGTGGGAGCCGGTGCACGATTGGCGGGTGCGGAATTTGAAGGAGATGGAGAGGCTGCGGCGGAGCGCGGATCGGGTGAGGGGGAGGTTGGGGGTTATTGGGGCTGAGCTGGAGAAGAGTCTGGGGCGGTGAGGTAGAGGAGGGGTGGAGGTGGGGATTTGGAGACTGAGTGGAGGGGTGTAGTGTAATCGTTTTACTGAGACTGTGCGAGTGAGTGAGGGCTGGGGTTTGACGTTAATTCAATAGCTGTGGATTACTGTTTTTCGATGTGGGCTTTGTCTTTACTCTATAGCAACTGCATGCTGTGCCGGTGTCACCATATTGTTTGTGCCGCTTGTTGGTGGCCGAGTTTGGTGTTTATTCCGTTGGTGGCTGTGGCACGGGAGGTAGTGCTTCGACGCCACTGCATCGGCCTGTGGACAAGTGGTCGAAATATATATCTTTCCAGTCCGGATAGATATTTTAGCTGTTCTAGATTCTTCCTATCAGGGAAGCCAGTAGTGATGGCGGTGGTAATTCTGCACCGGAGATCTATCGGTTGTGGTCATGTGGGTTCTGTTGACACAGGCTACGTACTTGGAGTATCACTCGGTGTAGGTGTACCAGGGAAGTTATTTCTGACATGCGGATGGTGAATTGAGGTGTAAGAAGAGGGGTAATTGCTTCAAATGTCCGTCGACTTAACTCTTGGCGCAGGCATAAAAAGGCAAGAGACGTTCCTATATCATGCCTTAGACTGCGACTAGAAGACAGGTTCAGGCCTCCTGCCGTCTCATCATGCTTCTTCTTCAGCTCTTATCTTTCTCCTCATACGCTTAACAGCCTTACAACCAACGCGATCATTATTTCATGTCCATCATTTAGAACGACCCCTTTAAAATTGAGACTTCGAAGACCTTCTGAATCCGTTCTGAATCCAAGTCATCCATGGTATCCTTTCGGTGCTAGAATTACCACAACAGGCACTCCCCCCCTACACTCGGGCTAAAAACACTTTGCGGCTTCCAAAAAGCGCGCACAACCGTGGAGGCAGTAGACTTCGGCGCGCGGCATCTCGCCGAGTTGACGGCAAATCCCGTCAGAGCCGGCACGCTCCGCCATGCAAACTATGGCTCCCCGCCGGCCCAGCCTCCCGACGCGCCCGGTGGGGTAAATTCCGCCCGAGAATATATTGTCTCCACGCTATTTTCCCATCCGCGATGCCTCGCGGCCCGAAAGCTCCAGAGCGGACGCGCGGCACCACCCCCCGAGCCAGGCTATAAAAGCCGTCTCCGAGTCGCACCGTCCAGTCCAGCATCGACGCTGCCGCCGCCGACGACGTCCCACAATGCTGCTCCTGTCCCTCCTCCTGCTCGCCCTGCAGCCGCTGCTCGCGCTCGCGGCGTGGGGCTACACCGAGACGTCCGCGCTCTACACCATCGACACCAGCGCGGGCTTGATCTTCAGCGTCTCCAAGACCAACGGCGACATCACGTCGATGCTGTACAACGGCGTCGAGTACCAGGGCTACCAGTCCAAGAACTCGCACGTCGAGTCCGGGCTCGGCACGTCGACGGTCACCATCGCGTCCTACTCCTCGCCGGCGTACATCATCAAGATCACGGTCACCTACGGCACACTCACCCACTACATCATCGCGCGCTACGGCAACGCCAACATCTACCTGGCCACGAACAAGGGCGACGCGTCCGTCGCCGCGTCGCGCTTCATCGTGCGCCTCAAGCCCAACGTCCTCCCGCACAGCAGCACGGACAGCGACTTCTACGACGACGGCAGCACGACCATCGAGGCCAGCGACATCACGCAAAACTCCGCGGGGCTGACGAAGTCCAAGCACTACCAGGGCAGCAACTACGGCCGCGTGCTCGACTTCGACTACGTCGGCAAGGCGACCAGCGCCGTCGGGATCTGGCTGATCCGCAGCAACCACGAAAAAGCCTCCGGCGGGCCGTTCTTCCGCAGCCTCGTCCGCGGCTGCACGACCATCGCCGAGGACCTGTACGAGATCCTGTTCTACAGCATGGGGCACACAGACGCGGAGCGGTGGGGGCTGCAGGGCCCGTACGTCCTCGCGTTCACCACGGGCGGCACCCCCAACACCGCCCTCTTCGCGCGCAACGCGGACTGGAGCTGGTTCGACACGCTCGGGCTGTCGGGCTGGGTCGCCGACTCGGCGCGCGGGTACGTCGCGGGCGTCGGCATCGCGAACATGAAGAGCGGCTACACCTACACCGCGGCGCTCAGCAACACCGCGTACCAGTTCTGGGGCACCGCGGCCGCCAGCACCGGCGCATGGACGATCAAGCGCGTCGTGCCGGGCACGTACACGCTCAGCATCTACAAGGGCGAGTACGCGGTGCACACGCAGAGCGTCACCGTGTCCGCCGGGGCCGCGACCGCGCTCAACACCATCACCCCCGCCGGCGACCCCGACGACGTCACCGCAATCTGGCGCATCGGCGCCTTCGACGGCACCCCCGCAGGCCTTCTCAACTTCGACACCACGCCGTATCCGCCAACTTACATGCACCCGAGCGACGCGCGCCTCACGGCGTGGGACTCGCCGAACTTCATCGTCGGCACGACGCCCGCGAGCGGCTTCCCCGCGTACATGTGGAAGGACGTCAACAACGACCACCTGGTGTACTTCAAGCTCACGGCCGCGCAGATCGCGGCGGCGCGCACGGTGCGCATCGGGATCACCGAGGCGTATGCCGGCGGGCGCCCGACGATCGCCGTGAACAGCTGGACGAGCGCGCTGCCGAGTGCGAGCACGCAGGCGAGCACACGCAGCTTGACGGTCGGCACGTATCGCGGGAATAATTATATTTATACGGTGAGTGCGGCGGGGTAGGCGGGGGCGGGTGGGGTGGGAGAGTGGAGGCGTGAAGAGTGAAGAGTGAAGAGTGAACGCTAATGTGGTGTCGTGATAGTATACGGTCCCCGCGAGCGCGTTCCTGACCGATGTGTCGCAGTGGCAGGTGCTCAAGATTACGGTTATCAGTGGCAGCGGCACGACGGGCTATTTGAGTGCCGGCATTGCAATTGATGCGCTGGATATGTACTAGGTGCCGCGTGCGCTGTGGGGGGTGGGGCTGTGGGTGGTGGCCCCGGGTGAGGTGCGGGAATGGCGAGTGGGATGCGTGGAGCAGCTACCGATGTGTTTTGGCCGATCAGGGTCGGGCGGTGGCATTACGTTGGTGTTGGACGTGAAATTCGGTCAAGTTTAGTTTACAGGAAGAGAAGAGAAGTAAAGAGCAGAGCGGATCTAGAGCAGCGCATGTAAGTTGTGAGAGCGATACGTGAGATCGAGCCGCACGTATGCACAAACATGCACTCATCCATTGCTGCCGAACCTCTTCAATCTCATCTAGAATCACTTGTGCCTTTAACGCCGTTTTGAATGTCTCGTGAATCTTTCACACAGCTCAGTCACCATCTCGGGGATCTGCCGTACCGATTGCATATCCACAGAGTTGACGGTCTCGTGATTCGTGTTCGTGAATCTTTTGCACAAACTGCACATGCACAGAGAGAACCCGTGAATCTTCCGCACAGATCACACAGGCATAGATAGACACGTGTGCAAACGGCGCGGCCACTCCGGGCCATCCTCTGGACACCCCCACCGTCGGGCGAAGACATTTCGTCGGTCGGCCAAGCGTAGCAGCAGTGCCGCCAGTCGTGACCCAACTCTGCCGCGACCGCAGAACACACCCCCGCCGCAACCCCCCCAGCACAGCTTACCTTTACCAGCCTCCCAAACTCAAGTCCACAAGCCAATTGAATCCCGCCAATCAACTTGAATTGGCGTTAGAATGGAGCCGCTATTCCATATCCACGACTCGCATTTAAGACCGTCGATGCCTGCCTGGAAGTTGCAGCTCCAGTCACCCACACAAACATGCCACTGGGCAACTCCGCAGCAACTGGCACCAGTTGAAGGTTCCGAGGTCGTCGCTAGGTCACCTCCGGTGATAGCAGGCTTCGGAGGCTTTAATGGTCGGTTGCCGGTCGAGTATCACGAAGGGGCGAGGGCTAGACAACACCCCCGTGTTGCTCCAGAAGCAGGGGAGCAAATCCTCGTTGGCCCAAGTGCGAAATCCTCATTCAAGCCGATATGCTCACCACTTTACTTGTTCGATTAGGAATGGGTGAAATTGGTCGAATCTGTGGGCAACGACGTGAGGGACTTGAAGGAAGAGGAGCTTCGCATCTGGAACGATGAGGGGTGGTGAGTCTTTGATGCTATTCATCGTGGCAACAGTTTCTGATGGTTCGCGCGTCAGCGTTTTGGTGAGACTCCGGACGAGGATCATGAAAATGATCAGACGGGTCTGGGTCTGATCACGATGAGGACGACGATGAAGGCGGCCAATTCGGTCACACTGAGGAGGGCGATGAAACCAGAGATCGTACCGATGACGCTGGCGACCATACCGATCAAGACGAGGATAACAACGTCAGCGACAATGGCCGTGCTGGAAAAGGAGACAGCTGCAAAGGTCTGGCATGGCCTTTCGCGAAGCCAAGCGGCCGGAAACTCCAGTCCAGCAGTCCACAGTACCTGAGGCGTA